GGCCGGGCCGGGCCGTCCCGCAGAGGGTCCCGCGGCCGGCCCGGTGCCGATGTCCCCCGGGCACGAGGGAGCCGGTACCAACAGCTGCCCTGGGCCTGGATGGAGTGCGGGCACCGTCAGTGGTCCCCCTGTCACTGGGTGTCCCCCGGGCCGTTCTGCAACCTGGCATCCCAGGAAGCCCCCCTGCTCCAGGGAGAGCAGCATCCTGTAGCCCTGGGTGGGTCGTCAGCCCGYGGGACCAGCCCCTCTGCCTGTCAGTGCCTGCCTGGCTCCCTTGGGGCACAGCCACCCCAGGCATCCCCGGTGCTCCTCGGTGCTGCTGTCCGGGCGCTGTCCCTCCTGCCAGCCTGGGAGCCCAAGCGACCTGCCTCACTGCTGCAAACCGCCTTACCGGCACCTAGCAGAGCCCTGGGGAGTGTCAGAGCAGCCCTTCGGTGCTTCCCTTTGCTTGGACAGGCAGGAGAAGTATCCCTAGACTGAATTTAGGGATGCAGAACTGGCAGCTCGGCCCGCTGGGGTAGGTGTGCATAGGCAGGTGGGCAGTCCCCCTCTCTGACAGGTGCCTGTCACCAAGCGGGGCACAAGGCTTGTCCTCCTGCTCAGAGACCACATTTCATCTCTCCTTGGAAGTGTGAGTGCTTTTGGGGAGGGTTTGGCAGCAGGATGCAGTATCTGTCTGCAGCAGCCTGCCCGGCTGCCTGTGTCGCACAGACTGTACCCAGAGATGGGGGCTGGGGGCCCGTCCCGCATCCCCCCAGCCTCCTGCCCTTTATCTCCAGCCCCCAGGCTCCCTCACGCCGCCTTTGGAGCCGCTTGGGCCAGCCTGGGCAGCTGCCTGGCCACAGGCAGTTAGGCCACCCACGGCAGCACTGGGGTAGGGGTCCAGTCCGCCTACGTGGTGCCGAGCGCTGCAGCGGGCTCTGCAAACGCGGATGCTCGGACACCAGAGCGGTGTTTTGCAAGAGCGCCTGTCGCTCCTGCGGAGGTCAGGCTGCTGGGGCAAAGGCCGGGGGAAGCGGCGGCAGCCCCTTCCCCTGCCCCGTCCAGCCGCACCTGGTGCCTGGCTCAGCCCCCCTGCGCCGCACGTGCCCGCGACGCACCGGGGCAGAAGGCAATCGGTTCCCATCTGCGTCCTCCGCCGCAGCTGAGCCCCGGGCTGGCCCCGCTCGGCACCGAGTGCCGGCGCTGCCGCAGTCACTCTGGCCGCGCTCGCGCTGCGGCTGAGCTTGCCGGGCCCCCCGCTCCTGCCCGGCGCCCACCCGCCCAGGACCAGCTGCCCGCAAGGTCGTCTGTCCACACTGGGTGAATTTTTAACTGCGGCTTGGGAAACACCTGGGAGCTGCCGACCCTGCAGGTGCTGGGGGGTTGGAGACACTGGAGGGGCTGGGTGCAGGTAGGAGAAGGACCGGCCGTCAACCCGCCCGGCCTAGGGTGCTGGTCCCCCGGCAGCCCCTCTGCCACCTGTCCTGCAGCCAGGTTTGGGGGAGAGACCCACGTGGCACGTCCCCCTGGTGCCCGGATGGAGGGGGCGGCCCGGGGAGGGGATGTTCCCTCCCCACCAGTCACGTCTCTCTCGATTTCTCTTTTCCCCTCTGCCCAGCTTGCTCTGACGGCGAATTGAAGCGTGCTGGCGCCGGTGCCGTAGCCAGCGCGACGGGGAGCGGGCACGCGAGGGACCCCGCCACGGGCAGCCGGGAACGCTCCAGCCTCCAGGGATGGCCGATAAGTGCAGCGAGGGGCTGCTGGTGAGTTGGGGACTCGGGGACGGGCCCGCTGCCTCGGCAAGGGTGCTGCAGGGTGCTCATTGCCCAGGGGTGCTCGCAGACAGGGCAGCACATGGGCACAGGACACCCAGCTCCAGGGAAGTGCCGGTGAGCTGCAGCACCGGCTCCGTTGGCTGCCTGGGGATGCCGACATGGGGGAATCGAGAGCTCCGTAACTTTTTCTCCCCCGTCTCTTCTGGGGAAGTCCCAGGCTGCGCTGCTGGGGGCCGTGCCAGCCTGAGGCTTTGCCATGGAGCTCCCCGCAGGGCAGGCAGGCGCCGGCCCRCGCCGCGGCCCCGGGTGTGGTGTCCCGCGGTGCCTGGAGATGCTATCRGCCGCCTCAGCTGCTCTGCCCGGCCTTATCGCCCGGTCCAGCCCTGCGGCGGGCGGCGAAGGCGGGAAAGCCCCTGGCCGCCCCGCTCCTCCGCCGGCTGCCGGCACCGAGCTGCTCTGTGAGAGGCCGCGTGGAGCTGCCCCTCAGCCCCAGGCTGAGCTTCCCCCAGTCTGTGGGGATCTTGTGCATCCACCACACCAGTTCTCCCTATTCCAGGGCCGGCCAGGAATGGATGTCCTGGCACTGCAGCTGTGCAGATGGGAAGGACATCGCGGCTTGCGGCACTGGCAGAGCTGGGTCTTGCCGGTGCTGCGCTGAGCTCTCCGCCCTTGCAGCCGGCATGCCCACAGTGTGGGGTGAAGCGCCCGCCCTGGCGAGGACTTGGGTCCGTGGGTGCTGGTGCTGGGCACCGCTGGACGGCGGCCATGGGACGTGGTGGGCTGCGATGCCCACGTTTTCATTGCTGCACTGCGCCAGACTTGGCAGGCGGGGGGCTTGTGAGAGCCCTGGGGGCTGCGCTGCAGCCGCAGGTGAGCCGGGCTGCCCGAGCTCCCTCCTTTCGCCTCTCCCCCATAGCTGGGAATGGAGCTTCAGGGCTGACASAGTCGCGAGGCCCTCCCCATCCCGGGGGGCTTCCTGAAATAGCCGCGCGCTCCAGCCAGAGGGCTGGGAGCCAGCCTTTCCCTGGGAAGCGGCGTGCGGGTCCCGGCAGGCACCCCAGTGCGGCCCCAGGCTCCCACCGGCATGAGCCGCGTGGCGGGCTCGGGATGCAGGTCTCTCCAGCGGTGTGGAGGGGCCGAGCGCGTGTCCGAGCCCGGGCAAGGCTCTTCCGTGGGGACGTGCCATGCGTGCAGCCGTGTCCGTGTCCCAGCTTTTGTGCGTGTCGGGTGTTTGCTGCCGGTGCCTGGGTGCTGCTGCGTGCCTGTGCTGGGGCTGCGTCCTCGCTGCAGCAGCCCTGGCACTGCGCGGGGCAGGGCTGAGCCTGGCGGCAGGGTTCACCGTGCACAGTGAGTCTTGCTCCCACCTTGGGGTCAGGATGTTCAGAGTGGTTGGAATGGGACACTTTGGCACGCACTGGACTGGCAGCCCCCGAGCAGGGAAGCTGTAGATGCCATGGGAACTGCCGGAGGAGGGCAGCTAGCGGTGCGAGCATCCCTGCTCCCAGAGCATCCCTGCTCTGGAGCCTTCTTGCGCCAGCTGCGAGAGTCCCGGGACGAGCTGTGTGGGGAGCGGGCCTTGGCGGTGGCGCTTTCTGGGTCATTGGGGAAGGAGCTAATCTCCTTGGCCTGCCTCCAGGGCGGCCGGGCAAAGCCTGGCTCCTGCCCTGCCCTGCTGCCCTCTAATCCCTGCCGGCAGGTGCGGCTCCCGTCCTGTCCCGTCCCGTCCCGYGCCACAGCCGCTGCATCCAGCATTGCCCAGTGTGGGCAGGGATGGGGCTGCTGAGGACTGAGTCAGTGCCGGGGTGTGCCCGGCGGCTCCTCTACATGTGTCCCTGGGGGCTCCGATGTGCCTCAGTTTCCCTGCTGCAACCCGAGGCCGGTGCTTTCGGGACGTGGGTGTGTGTGGCGAGATGCCCACGTCACTCTGTGTGTGCTCGCCCCCAAAACTGCGGGCGGCAGCGGGTCCCCCTCCCCAGGGTGTGGGGACAGCGGGTGCTGAGGGGGTGCTGGGGCGCAGGGCAGCTCCAGGCATCRCGCTGGTCGCTGGGTGGCTGGGCAGGGGGTCCCTGAGGGGGAGCAGGGAGGGGTGCGACAGCCTCTCCCCGCCTGTCCTCTAAGGACATGTTGTTTTGTCCTTGCCGGGGCGCTTTGTTCGGCCTCCAGCCCTGCCAGCAGCTCCTGACTCCCAGGGCTGCTTTGCTGGCACGGCCGGGCACAGCCGGGCAGCGTGTGGCCGAGACGGCGGCGCGATGGGTGCTGCGGGGCGCCTGGCGCAGGTGGGTTCCTGCCGTGGCCCCGTGGTACCCAGGCTGCTGCTGGCGCCGGGCAATGGGGGCTGCCGTCCCCAGCGGTGCTGCGGCACCGGCGGGGCGGCCGGGCGCGGGGAGCCGGCGGCGAGCGCGGCTGCGGAAGCGGCTCTTGGCCGCCGCAGCCCTTCCCGGAATAACAAGGGGCGGCCATGGGGGGGCCCGCGGGGGATTTTCTGCCTGAACGCCCTGGGAGAATCGCGCCCGCGCCGTGAGAACGGAGCCGGGGACGGCAGCGCCGGCGGGCGCAGGACCGGCTCAGCCCCGCGGCGCCAGCCCTGTCCCGGGCACCCCTCCGTGGGATGGGGTAGTTGGGGCGCAGGGCACRGGGAGCTGGYRGAGCCCCTATCCGGCTACTGGAGCCCCAGCACTGGTGGCCACRAGGGGCCCCGTGGCCGGGGAGCCAGGAGCGCTCCTGTCGGGGGAGCCTTCCTTTCCAGCGGCGTGTCCCCGGGCTTGGCAGTGCCCCGTGCCAGCAATGCCGCACTCCAGYGCGCTGGCTGGGGGCCCGGCATCCCTGCACCGGGGCCACGGTGGCTCCAGCGGCTCYGGTACCCGCTGGCCACAGCCTCTGTGTGGCACTGGCTGTGCCTATGGTGCGGGCACCGCAGCCTCGGCTAGGACAGCGAGTGGTGGCACGCGGTGGGCATGGAGTTGTGTTCCCATGCCCGGGGCACCAGCACTTTGGGGGCTCTCAGGGCGCGAGGGGGCTCGGTGAGGAAGGATGATGCCCCCATCAGAGGACACGGCAGCCTGGGTGCATCTTTTGTGGGTGCAAGGTTGGGTGCTCCCGCCGCGCAGGAGCACTCCAAGCCGCGAGGCTCCCAGTGCAGCCGGGAGAGGTTGAGGGAAGGCGGGGGGACCCTGGGAGCCGGGAGCAGGGCGGGCGCAGGGCTGAGCTCCCCTGCACACGTGTGCGGCGCACGTGGCCRCGGCTGCCCGGACCCCAGATGGTCTCCCGAAAGCGCCGACCCCGTCCCCGCCGGCCTCGCCGCCATCACGCCTCGCTGGCGCCTTGGCCGCGCTCCCCAGCCGGGGCGCGGGGCTGGCAGCAGCTGGGGCGCCCCGAGCCGCGCCGCGGGGCCGCCTGGCACCGCCGAGCCCGGCCTCCTTCCCACGGGACGCCGGGGTCCCAGCCCGCACCATGATGGGGGTCCCAGCCCAAACCATGATGGGGGTCCCAGCTCGTGCTGGCGTTCCAGCCTGCACCAGCTCTCTGGGGACAGGACGGCATGTGGGGGAGTGGGTGGTGGCACAGCCCTCCTGTGGCCAGATGGTCCCCGCGATGGGCAGTGACCTTGTGTGCATTGCCACAGGGACCGCCGGGATGTCGCACGCGGTGGGGCTGACGTCGGGCGGGCTGGTGCCGTATGTCCTCGGCCGGCACTGTCCCCAGTAGCCACCATGGAGAGCCCAAAGAGAGCCTGGCCAGGGGTCCCAGGGTGCAGGGACCCTCGAGCTGCCAGAACCGGGTCCCTTTTGGGTGAGAGGAGGACACTGTGGGTCTAGGGGACTGTACCTCATGTTCCAAGCAGCCATGTGGGGCTGGCAGGGCCCATAGGGACAGAGGGGTGTGCAGGGCCTGGGGCAGCTCTCTGCCACGCTCTGCGCACGGGCCCTGGCGCTGGGACGAGCAGGGGCTGTTCCTGGGGAGCAGGACAAGCCCGGCAGCCCGTTTGCGCACAGGTAAAGCTGGGGGGCACCTCGCAGCGGGGGGGGGTGCCAGCTGGGTCCATTCCCGGCAGGCGCAGGCGGATGCAGCGGCGCTGCCCGGCGGAGCGTGAGGGGCTGCGCACAGCTGGACCCCGCTAATGAGGCCTCATTAAGCGCCAYGCGGGCTGCGCCAGTGCCCCGCGCGCCGCACAGCTGCCCGCCCCGGGCCGTGCCCGCCGCGGGGGGGCTCGGCCACGGCTGGCGGGGCAGGCAGGACGTGGGGCTGCTGCCAGGCCCCTCCTGAGCCTGGCCTGGGCCGGGGCAGGGCGGCACCGGCCTGTCTGCGGATACCGGCGGGAGCTGCAGCCGGCCAGAGCCCCGCTGCGGGGCGGCAGCGCCTCCCCGGGCGGCTCCGCGGGCAAATCCGCCCCCCAGGCTGAGCGTTTGCAAACCAGCCTCGGGTCAGGGACCGCGAGGGTTTCCTCCGTGCCTGGAAGCTGTGCTGTGGTGCTGTTACCTCTGAAACCTACTAATTGCAAGGAGGAGGATGCAGAGCACCCTGTTGCCCTTGCTCAGTGATGCAGGGGCAGTCTAGCGGAGATTTCCCCAGCACCTTCCTGCGCCCTGTCATAGGCACCAGCAAGCAAAGCCCYGTTTTGCATCTGCCCCCGGCCCCCRTATGGCACCCTCGGGCCAGCCTGGTGCTGTTCCAGGTGTCTGGCAAAGCGCGCTCAGAGCTGAGCGGGGCTGGGCAGCCACCCTGGCTTGCAGGGAGCGGAGGGGAGAGCCCCTGGGCCTTGGGTCCCCTCAGCCCCATGTCACCCTGGATGCACTGCCTGTCCATGCCCTAGCCCGGGAACACAGCACTGGCATCACCCCTTTCCACAGGGCTGTGTCCCCTCTGAGCCTTTGCCTCTTGCCCAAGTCGCCCTGTCCCCCAGGGAGCATCCCCGAGCACCCCCATTCCTCAGTCCCCGGGGTCCCTCTCGGGATGCTCCATCCATCTGTCCCCCGGAGGCAGCAGCCAGGGCTGCCCTGCCCCAGGCCTCCTGCCCTCCCCTCGCCGCCCTGGCAGGGCCCCGGGGGAAGCCCTGGGAAAGTGGTTATTTAAGCAACATTTAATTAGCATCTATTTATACCTCCTGGCAGCTCCCGCGTGCAGCCTGGCAGCGGCTGCATCGCCATTGCCATGGCGAGGGGCTGTGACGCCAGCTGATGACATCAGGGCTCCCTGGTACCCTGCGCTGGCATCACCCCCACCCTAAAACCTGCTCCCCTGCACTGGGGGGGGGGGGCTGGAAAGAGGGGCTGGGGATCCCCATGGGGCACTGCAGCTTCACCCTATGCACTTGCACCCGGGCACCTCTAGCTTTGGCTGGTGGGTGGCAGGGGRCGGTGGGTGCAGGGGCACCTGCACCCCACTGTGTGCCCCCCATGCCCACCCCATGCAGCTGCTGGGCACACGAGCACCATCTGGGCACAGTTTGGGGACAGCCAGTGCTGTCCTCACAGGGATGCAGCTGGGGATGCAGCCAGTGCCAGCCCATGTGTGACCCAGGGACAGGGACGCTGGGCATGGCTCTCACCGCTGGCTCAGCCGTTGCTGCTTGGCCGCGCTGGGCACTGCCTGGGACGGCTCGGACAGCTCCCGAATCCCTGGCTCTGGAGAACCGCGCGGGATGAGCGTCCGGACAGTTAATGAGTGTAAAGGGCAGGGCGACCTTGCCAGGCTGGGGGGGCACGGGAGGGCTTTGCACCAAGGCAGCGGCTGCGCAGATGAGCGTGCGCACACGTGTGTGCACTCGTACGCGCACACGTGCGGCCGCCGCTGTTGGGGACACGTGTGTATGAGCCCTGCACTGCAGAGTCCTGCTGCCCGAGGCCGGGCAGGTGCCCTGTGCTCAGTGCATGTTCGCCCTCCCAGCCTGGGTGTCCCGTGGGGGTCCGCACTGCCCCGCAGGGCTGTGGGCAAGGCCAGGCTGCAGCTCTTGCCTGGTGGTGGCCCTTGGCTTTGGGAYCGGGATGAGAGAAGTGGGGCAGCGCAGGGTGCCCCCCTCGCAGGGAGGCTGCAGCACCCCCGCTGTGGCTGCGGTGCTCATTAGGCTGAGCAGGAGCCTCGTTAGTGCACGCGTCCCCGTGGCCTAATCAGAGGCTTCGTGATCCGATTAGCCTGCCCAAGCGAGCGGCGTGGGGACCGTGCCAGCCTCGTGCCACCCCGGTGTCCCCGCRTGGGTCCCGGCCCCCTGCAGCACTCCCAACAACCCCGAGACCCCCCAGATCCCAATTTGGGGGGAGGTCTGCACCCCTATAGCCCAACCCTCCCTATAGCATCCAGGCCACGCGGGGTAGCCCTGGCCGGGGTGCCCCCGCGCGCGGGCACGGAGCAGCCCCCCCATGGCCGCCGGCGCGTGCTGGCCCCGCTCGCAGCAGATGGCTCCGCTTGGCAGCGCGGCGGCGGCGGGAGCGGGCCCGGCGTGCCGGCTGTGCCGCCCTAATCGAATGACACGGTTAGGTGCACCGCGCCTGCTGCCCGGCCCCGGCGGCRGCGGCACAGCCCGAGCCACGGCTCCCGTTTGCAGCCTCGTTAGTGTGCGCGGGGCGCGCACGTGTGCGGCGTGTGTGCGTGTGTGCATACGTGTGCGCATGCATGTGTGCATGCATGTGCATGTGTGTGGTACAGTGGGGAGTGCGGCTGCTCAGTGCTGCTGTGCAGGGATGCACACYGGCCCCACGCACTAGCAGCTCCCCAAACGCTGCCCGCCCTCAGCGCAGCCCCCGAGCCGGGCACCGTCCCCGCGGGACGGCGGTGCCAGCGCGGGGCCGTGCGCGGTGCGCCGGGTGCCGTCTCCGCAGGGGGTGCCAGCCCGGTGGCACCCATGCGAGCTTGCTTTGTGCCGCACAAAGCGCCCTTTCTTGCCCCGACACGGAGCCTGGGGGGGCAGTGGGGAATGGGCATTGGAGCCCTGGCGCAGCCCCCTGCCCTCAGCACGGCCAGTGGTGCAGCACCCTCGGCGCGTGCCCGGCCTGCGCTTCACCCCACGGCTGGCATTGCTGGCACCGCTCACCCCCTGCGCACCCCACGTCCCTCCGTGCCACGAGGGACTTGAACCTGCCCCTGGGCCCCATTCCCCTACCCGCTGGGACAGGAATGCGACATCCCGGCACCCCAGTGCTCCCCTCAACGCACCCCGCTCCCTGCTCAGCCTTGCTGGAGAGGGGAGAGCTGGGGGGTCTGGCGATCCCCCCCTGCCACCGGCGGCCACCCAGCCAGGGCCTCCTGTGGCGGGYGCGGGGTGGGGGAGCGGGAACAGAGGCCGCTTTGTGCTCGGCCGCGCGGGCCTGCTTGGTATGACTTGCAGGCGCTTCCTTGGGCACGGCCGCGCTCCGGGGCCGAGCCATTGAGGAGGGCCGGGGTGGGGGGGACGGCGCTGCCCGCCCCCGGCTGCGCGGGGCAGGATGCGGCGGGCGCCCGGCGGCTCCTCCGATGGGGCCGCCGGCTGAGGCGCCCCGCGCCGCCGTCTCCCCGCAGAACGGCGCCGTGCCCGGCGAGCGCGCCAAGCGCGACGAGAACGTCAAGCGCGGCAACTGGGGCAACCAGATTGAGTTCGTGCTGACCAGCGTGGGCTACGCCGTGGGGCTGGGCAACGTCTGGCGCTTCCCGTACCTCTGCTACCGCAATGGCGGAGGTGGGTGCCGCGGCGTGGGGCTGGCGGGGTGCCCGGGGTGCCCGCGGGATTTGGGGTCGCGCATCCCGACTGTCCGCTGTGCAACGCGGGTGCAGGGGGCCCGGCCGGGCCGCAGGTGCTGCTGGCTCTCACTGTGGGGTTCCTGCCCGCCAGGTGCCTTCATGTTCCCCTACTTCATCATGCTCGTGTTCTGCGGCATCCCCCTCTTCTTCATGGAGCTCTCCTTCGGGCAGTTCGCCAGCCAGGGCTGCCTGGGCGTCTGGAGGGTCAGCCCCATGTTCAAAGGTAAGGGGCTACTTGCTAGCGCCGGCGCCCGTGGGCACGGGGTGCCTGCGACCCCCCAGCACGTGCTGCGCCCCCGCACGCCTGGCACGCTGCCCTGGCCCCCACGTGCTGCACGAGCCCCTCGCACACACGCACCCTGCACAGGCAGCGTCCCCGGGCACCGCGGTGCCGCTGCGCACGCGGCGCATGCCCCGCGAGCACGCGCACGGTGCTGCATGCATGGCACGACTCCCTGCACACACACACATGGCTGCATTCATTGCACACGTGTCCCTGCACACGCGGCACTGCTGCAGCCCTGCTCGTTGTCCCACAGGCTGCAGTGCTGATGTGCCAGGCCTGGGGACACGGAGCCCGTGTCCAACTCCTGCACCCCTTCCTCGGTGGTCTCCAAGCCATTGCAGCCCACTGGCTCCCTGCCCAGGCACCGAGGCCATTCCTCCCCATGCCCGCGCCCACCGCGCGTGTCCCCAGCACGCGTGTGGCACTGGCCACCTTGGGACACGGCTGCACGGCACGGCCAAGCACATGTGGCCTGTGCATGTGCCGCTGCGCTCCCTGCGCTGCCGCGCGCCGGCGCTGATGCTCAGCTCCCTGCACACGCTTGTGTGGCCACTGTCCCCACCACCTGGCCACTGCCGCCCCCCAATCCCTGGGATGGTGCAAGAGGAGACCCCCCAGCCTGGAGCCCAGACCCGAGGGGTGGCCGCAGCCCCAC